TCTCCATTTCATCTGGTGGAACTGCAAGTTCCATCACTTCCCCCTGGGAGTCTCTTGATAAAAGCTATCACAGATACCTGTTCTTTCTTCTTTCAGGGCTCTACACCTGTCTGCCACCTGTGCACTTAGTTGCATTTCTTGTTCCAGCTGCATGCATAGTGCTATCCTGACACTTGGGTCTAATGGGGAAATGACCATCTCCAAGCTACCAGCCGAATACAGGAAGTAATCATGGATTGTAGTTGCAGATATGCATAAAGAGGGGGCTAGAAATACCAGCAGTGCTAGAGGCCGGGGCTGTTTTGGCCTTCATGGAAGGGAAAGACTTCTATTCTGGGATGTGACTTTTAGGCCATCCTGGCAGAGGGAAGAGTTGCTGCCAGGACCTTGAAAGTGGAAAGAGGGGTTGTACACAGAGGTGGGGAGCTGTGAGTTGAGTGGGAAGGCGAGGTGAAGGGGTGGCGGGGCTGGGTTAGAGCAGTCAGCAGGATCTCATCCAGGCCCTGGATGGGAGAAGAGAGGAGTTTGAACACACTCTTGGGTAACAAATGGTAAAAGTTAAGGTGATGGATACAGCAGTTACCTTGTTGATCACTGCCCAACATATATACAAATCAGAACATTACACTGCACCATATAAATTGTATAAATAGTATGTGTTGTGTGTCAATCAAAAAAGGTTAAAAGCTATATAAATACAAGAATAAAAGAATACTCAGGCTGTTTGTGTCTGGAGGGGAACTGGAATAGGGTGAGTGGGAAGGAGTGAGGCAGAGCTCCCAACCAAGGAGGGGCTGGGGAGCAAGTCCTCTAGGGGCTCTTTGGGAGGGAGAGAGCCTTCCCTGTCCTTCCTGGGTACCATGTGGGATGAACCTTTGTGAGCGCTGGGTGTAGAACGTTCTCTTCTCTGTATGTGTGCGATCTGCCCTGGATCAGTGTGAAGAACCAAGCTGTACACTGTGCAAACCAACAGCGGTGAGATTTTTCGACTTAGATTTACATATATATGATCTGTCCCTGACCCTCACCCTACTGTCACCAATCAAGTGGCAGATTGTGGCTCCTTCTTTGTCCCATCTGTGGCATACTCAGTGAGCCTCTTCAACCCCATTTCCACTGAGAAGATGGTGAGAAAGGAGAATGCCAGAGTTACTCCAGATCCTACATGTGCTGGAACCCTGGGACAGCCTTGCCAGCTTCTGGTAGGTAGACATGCTCAAGTTGGAGCTGCACCCCGGTTTGCCAGGGTCACCAGGATCCATGTGTAAAGAGTGTTTTGTTAAGAGAAGCCTCATTCTCAAACATTTGGGCTTGCTTTTTCCTGACTGGTGGAGGAGTTGAGTGGGTTCCAGCTCTAGAAGGTGGTAAGGCCGGCACACCTGTACAGGGGGCAAAAGGGCGAGTCTCATGTCTGCTGCTATGCTGGGTGGCCACTGAGATTTTTCTCATATGTGAAATGGGCACATTCAGTCTCCAGGCTGTGGTGGATCTCAGTCCTCCAGGACAACCAGGAACATACCCTGTAAATGAGGTCCAGAAGGAGGGCTTTGTCCAGGAAATGGCAATGACCTGGTGGAGAAGAGGGACCACAAGGTTGCCAGCTCATGGAGCCTAGGCCCATGTTAGGCTCAGAGGCTGTGAGGATCTGCCTGGGTCCCTTCTTTCTCAAGGGACTCAGGAGGTACCTACTGTCTACAATGAATCGTCCTGGTTGAAGGGAGTTCAGGGGGTGCTGGAGTTGGTTTGGCAAAATGTTATTGAGAAGCTGGTGCTAGAAGCTTTATTTCAGATAGCTCAGAAAAACCAGTGCTGGTCATTCTATTCAAAAGCAGAGTGTGGAGCCCCCAGGTCTTGACTCTATGGAGGCTCTGAGTCTACATCACCTGGGCCTTGGGGTGTGGGTTCAGGGCAGAGAGGAGAGGAAGTCAGGGCTGAGTAAGCAGGGTACAGACCAGGGTGGTACCTTGTAGCCATCAAGGGGGCTGGAGGACGTGATGTGTCTATCTGACCTCGGGAGACCCTGGGGGCCCAGGCCAGAGCTTCTGGATCTTGTTCCTGCATCAGACATAGTTAGACCAATCTGGATGCAGCTGGTCGAGATAGTATCAGGTTATCCTGGGGTCTCAGAACACTCTGCACACCCAGTATCCCAAGATCTTCCCAGGGCGTGGAGTACCTCCTTATTTGCACTTATCTTCCCTAGAGCCCCAGCATCTGTGATCATCAGCTTTTTAGGCTTAGCACACAGCACCTAGTCAGTCCTCAGATCATGAACTAAGGAATTAACATGTGTCATTCCAAATGTGTCCAGCTCAATAAGCGTTTCCTGTACACCCACTATGGGCTTGGTCCCTGACACTGTTACTGCCACTGGAGAGGGGGCTCCCAGATAAGACTGGGCCTCTATTCACATGGGTTTAGACTTAAGTAAAAATGATGCCCTAGTCCTGTCAAACCAACAGCATTTTCTAGGCCTATTGTTTTGGCATTCAATATGCAGCCAATGATGTTTTGGGCCAACACTGGGTTACAGAGTGTCCTGGAGCTTCTCGCACTGTGCTCTGTGGATTATGCCATGGAGTACCTAGGTTCAAGAGAAACACAGAGCAGATACTGGGGCCACAGACTTTACTCAAGGGCTTGAGTAAATTACAATTGGATAGGTCAAAGGAGTTGGAATGATGACCCTGAAGGTGCCAAACTTGATCTAGAGTTGAAGGGACCCCAGCTCTAAATGCATGAGATGATGCAGGGGCACTGCTGAGCTGAGCTATGGGAGATCATCACCTGCTGCTCCCTATTTGCCCTCCTCTCTCCTGTCAGAACATGTGTTCTTGGGAACATACCTGAGCATCAGCCACTGAGAGTGTTCCGGGAAACAGCTCAGAACATGTGTGCATGTCACCAACTGACTGTACTGGACTGTCCCAAGGTTAATACCCAAGATGAGGGTTGACTGACCTGGAATCAATGTGGTATCTCATTTGCAGGAGTTCTTAGACATTGGGTCAATTCTAGGTCTGATTCTGATAGACTCCCTTGATGTTGGATAATCCCTTCTCTTCTCTAGTCCCAGTTTGTAAAATGGGAAGAGTGAATTGACTTAAATATATCCAGATGGATAGAATTCAAATTCGGCTAAGGTTTATCTAGATCCCACTAAAATATATGGTGAGCATCTTTTCATATACACAATTTAATTTAGTGTTCTCAAAGGCCTAGGAAGGCCAGTGTTATCTCCACTTTGTATATGAAACAGAGGTTCAGAGGACTTCTGCCTGCTAACTGAAGTCACACAGCCAAGAAGCCCTTCAGCTGAGATTCAGTCTCAAGCATGTCAGTCTTCTTGTCCAGGGGACTGAGAACAGACACTGTGAACCTCCATAAACTTAGCTTCCCTGCTCCTGATTTCCTGCTCACCCAGGAACTCAGTTCTCCCTGTGATACAGGGAGTTGAGAGATAGAAGGGGACACTGGCTGAGCCGGGGCTGCAAGCCACTGGTAGATATAGGTGTACTGTGGTTGGAAAAGGCTGGTGAGGAAGGGAGTGGGAGTAGTGGTGAGAGCCTGGGTCAGCATGCCAGGAGAGTCCAGGAAGCTCCATTTGGCCATAAGCTAAGGAACTTCTGTTCTTTGCCATCTGGAGCCTCTGCCTGGTCTCTTGGTTGCTCATTCTCAGAGTCTCCCTCTTCTCCCAAATTCCTGCCCACATTTCCTAGCCCTCAGAAATCATTACCTAACAGTAGGAGCTGGGGAAAGGTGTGAAGACAGGTGCTTCAGGGCCAGAGTGCAGATCTCCACCCTACTTACCGGGAGGCTGCCAGGGAGGCTTTTATCCTTGCCAATTCAATCACCACCAGTCTGCCTGCTTTTGAGATCTCGGTTGGTTGTCTTAGAACCTTGGGTGGCCTTGAGTCCTGCTATGACACTGGGCTAGCTCTCCATGGGCCTCGGTGTCCCCACTCAGGCAACAACCAGCTGGGGGAGCCCCATGGATGTCAGGCCCCTCTCAGTGGTGACATTTTAGGATCCACTATAATAATCTACTTTTTTTCCTCCTCCCAGGGGCCAGGGGACCAGATACCTTGGGAGAGACATCAAGCTCAAAGATAGCTCTCCCTACCTGGGTGTTCCCTCGGGGCAGCTGCAGGTGCCCCTCTTCCCGCATCGCCAAAGGATTCCTTCCACAAGGCCCAGGTCCGCGGTAGATCCAGGCCTGGCCCTTTAGCCTTGCAGCTCAGGCAACGGCTAGCGAAACAAGTAGCGAGCGCAGCGCTATAGCCGCAACTGCGGCGGCCGCCGAGGCGCAGCGGGCGGGGGAGGAGAGAAGCGCCCACTTGTCCCACGGCCCCGCAGCAGCCCTGGCCCCGGCCCCGGGAGCAACACAGCGGTCTTTGGAAACCTGGGGTTTGTTGGCCTGGCCCGAGACAACTGGAAGCACACCACCAATGGATCGCAGGGAACAACCCCCGAGGCTCGGCAGACCCCCAGCTCTTCCGGATTAGAGCAGGTTGCTCTGCGCCCCTGGCTGCAGGAGGCAGGGGACGGTGGCGCTTCGACGCCGGTCTCGCCCTTCTTCTGCCCAAGCATGAGGAATTCCACGCCTTAGGCAGACAATTACTGTTTTCAAGGGCGGGGGTGGGGGTAGGGGCACCATTTTGGGTTGGACGTGGATCCAGATTCCTTGCCTGTGTTGGGTCCTCTGGACCCCATCACCCTGGGCATTTCCAAGTTTCAGCCCCTCGGTCCCCGCCTCCTACGGTGTTCACCCGGCGAAGGGCAGCCGCAGTTCAGCAGCAGCACCCAGACCGCAGTCCCTGCCCCCTCTGCCCGCCCTAGGGTCACCCTCCGGGTTTGGGGCAGCCCTCCCCTCCGGCTGAGGATGCCAAGAGCGCCCCAAGATGCTTAGAATAGAAGGACCAAAGTTCGGTCCCGGGTGAAGGGTCGAAGGCCCAGCACCCGGAGGGCCTCACTCGGGGAGGACAGGATGCTCGCCTCACCTGTTTCTCCAGCGGCTCCTTGGAGGAGAGAGCGGGCTTGGGGGAGGGCGCGCGGTCGCAGACGCAACCCTCCAGCAGGTAGAGCCCCGAGGGCCGAGAGCTCGAGTCGCTTTCGAAGTAGAAGAGCAGATTCTGCAGCAGCGCGAACCACTTGGTTTGCCATTTTGTGTTGTCCGAACTCCGCTTGCTCAGGTAGCCTTTGCGCGTGCCGTCCTTTCGCGCCAGCAGTCCCAGGGACGCGACGTGGCCATCGTTCAGCCGGATCCCCTTCTGCATGGTGCTCGGAGGCCAGCGAGACCCCACGCGCTTACATCTTCCCCGCGTGGCACCGGGTAGCCCCTCGTCGGTGCGCGCTGCGCCGCCTCTCTGGCGCTCGCTCGCTCGCTCCCTCTCGCGGTCCTCTCCCACCCCAGATCTACACTCCGGGATCTGGCGCCGAACTGAGGCTTCTTGAACCTAGGTGGAGCATTACTCGCTGGAACCTTTTCTCCTCTCCGCAGAGCCCTGGGGCCCCGGGAGATGCAGCTTGACCCTCCCCCGCCAAATGAGGGACGGGCGATCTGCGTTCTGGCTAGGGGCAGGCGGAGTCACGTGACGCCGATCCCTCGAAGAGCGGGTTTCGGCAGCGCGGACTGGGACACACGCAAGCAGCCCCGCCGAGGCGCAGAGCCGCACGCAGATGCACCTTGGCGCCTCCTCCCTCTTCCCGGACACACACGCGCACACACAAAACCGGTCTTCCCTCCCCCTGGCCTCTCCTGTCCTCCCCTTATCCCCTTCGGTGTTCCAAAGCAAATCAGATCAATTTCCGTTTAACCCAACGGAACCCCGGCGACTCATCTTCATCCCTGGAGTTTGCGTCTTTGCGCCCCACCGCGGCGCACTGTAGACCGGGGTTTAAGTCCCAGTTGTCACTTTCTCCTCCACAGCCTTCCCCCCACCTTCCTCCAGTACTTTATTTTTCTAATTCAAGGTGGGTGGAGGAAGGTGCATGGCGAAAGAGATCGGATATGTGTTAGTGTTTTTTGCATAGTCGTTCGGGTTATATTATTTCAGTAAGACTTCGCCAGCGACCTGAGGCTATAGGGGGTGAGATGGGATGGGGAGAAGGAGGTGAGCATTTATTTTATTTCATTCTGAGCGTTGTCATAATTACCGGCGCCACCCCCTGAACCCTAAGGTCTGGCTGGCGAGCCTCTGCGGGGAGTTTTCGGCAAATACCCCCCAAGCCTGAAGGCGGGCTTCAAACGCAGACGCCGGGGACCATGGGAGCCTTCAAATAGCTGCGCTGGCGCAATGATACCTTAATGATAGATTTTCCGTTCTTATTTTTAGCTCCCATTCGCCTACACAGTTACACGGCATTTATCCGAGAACGTCACAGCGCCCGCATGCTGCACCGGCAGAGCGCGCCGGCTGCAGGGCCCGCCGGGTGCGGGAGCGGGGAGCGCGCACCGCCGTCTGCCGCAGAGGGCAGCTGCCTCGCCGAGACCAGGAGCGGCGCCCGGCGCAGCCAGTTTGCAACCAGGATGGGCAGCGCTCAGGAGGAAGAGAGGACACCATCTTTTTGCACAGACCCTGCGAGAGCCCTTCCCCCAAACACACACGCGCGCGCGCACACACGCACACACACACACAGAGGCATACACACAGAGGCACACACACACACACACACACACACACACACACACACACACACACAGACGCACACACGCACGCATCGGTCATCGACTGAGATGGACCTGTCCCAGTACAGGGCACCGCG